ATCAGCTATAGTATACTGTATAGCGTGCCTTAAGGTATGTTCAGTAGTTCTTTAGAATGCCTATTGATCTCAGCGTTGATTGCTCGTGCTAGTAGACCATTACCAGTGGTACTCATGATGAAAGAAGCATGAGTAATGAGTCTCGTAGCCAATTACAATCATATTAACGATGACTGTACAGTTATCTCCACTACTCCCCACATCCCTGGAAGAATTCTTCCGACTGGCTTTCTTGCATATTACAAAGTTTATCCCTTGGAATTCTGTACGCATAGGCATTGAATTGCTTTCCAATGCATCAAGCTCCCTCCTCCCGCAACGTGAAAGGAGAAAAGTACCAGTGTAACTAAGCAAAACCGCAGATCATTAGTCAACTTTGTACATTGGGCTTGCTCCTTGCTACGTTATTTCTATCAGAAGCGGGTGAATGGATCACAGAGATGATCACTCACACTCACACCAAGGACTGAATCTCAGATGAAGGAATGTCTTCCAATGTTCTTCTAATCCAATCGATGTAAAGATATTGCAACAGAACTCATGGCGATAAAACGCGAACCGAAAGAAGCTCGTCGGACCGTTGAATCAAATGTCCGTCCCACATCTTGGTTGTCTTGGTCGTCTTGGTTGTCTTGGTTTTCTTTTAATAAACCCATTGCAGCGTACGTCGAATTGAAAACTTTCCCTCTGCCTAGGATTGATTAACAAGGCCTATTGGGGGCTTACCATGCTCAGTGAGCCAAGACGGTTACTCCGCTTGCCTGCCTTGACGCTAAGTAATTTCTCCGTGAACCTCCGTCTACTGATTGAGAAAAAATAGCCTACCCCCCGCTTACAGCACTCCCAGCCGTTTATGCAACGACGCATAAGGACGTAAACGGCATCATCCTGTGTGCTGTTGGGGGAAGGAACAACCACCGCTACTTGAGTGATCACGGTGTATACCAACTGTTACGGTCAATGCTCTATGTTTGGTTAACACTGTCGTGTTCTGACTGGGCTGTGGAACCTGGTTGTATTTTCCAAGTATAAATACCCACATATGTTCGCCTATGATGCAAGAGTTACAGTTGGGAATCTTCAAGTAGCAACAGCTCTATATATAACAGCAGTTTCAACCATGGCTGTATTCAAGAACTTCTTCAGTAAATTTTACAACACGGCAGGTGCACCACCAGAGATTTTCAACAGGACTCTGTATTTTGCCATTTTTGTTTTTGGTATTCTGGGCTGTGCCCGTGGTTATGACGAAGGCTACATTGGAGGTATTGTAACGAAGTCATCGTTCAAAAACCAGTTTGGGTTGAATGATCCTACAAAAACAGCAACAGAATTGGCCAATCTGAAATCAAACATCACTTCTATGGTGATACTAGGCTCCATTGGTGGTTCTCTGCTTGCGATGTACTTCGTGGACAAGTTTGGGCGTATTAGAACTTTGCAAGGTGTTTGCGTAGGTTGGATAGTCGCTGTCGTTATTCAGATAACATCGAAAAAGCTTGGTCAATTATACGTTGGTAGGCTAATGGAAGGCTTGTGCATTGGTCAAACTGTGGTTATTGG